GCCCAAATGAGGAATGTGCAGCTGGAAGACATGAGTCCCATCCTGCTCAGCTTTCCTGGAGAGTACCGTCTGCAGACGTGAGTCCTGATGAGGTCACGGAACAGCCGGGCAGCCCGTGCCTCTCTCCAGGACCTGGCATGCAGCACACGCAAGCAGCGTCTCCCTGCCAGGCCCATGCATCCTCCCAGGAGGCCAGCCAAGCTTACAATCTGCCAGCCAGGGACGGCTCTCCCACCACCCAGGAGAGGAGGGCAGCCCAGCCCCAAGACACGGGGGCGGGGGGGGGGGATGGTATGGGAGGTCAGCAAGCTCAGCAGCAGCCTGCAGCAGCCAGGGCCTGTTTCTTGGTGGCTGCAGCTCCAGCGCCACTTGGCCCCAGCAGCAGTGTCCTGCTCCTGTCTGCTAAGCATGCTCCTGTAAGCATGTTTCTCTACCACATCAGGTGCCTGAGAGGCTGGAGCTCCACAGCCACTGAGCATGTAGATGCTGCAACACCAGGAGCCCCCTCCTCCTGGTGGGCCGCCCCTGCAGAAACCCTCTATATTGCAAAACTGGGGGTCCTGCTTCTTGTTCTGCCTTCCTCATGGCCCTCAACATGCTAGGTTTGTATAGTTTGGCTTCTAGGGGCCGGAAGTGGCTATCTTCTGGATCTGGCCACATGAGTAGAAATCCATTAGAGAAAGAAACAGGCATTTGAGCAGAACAGAAGCAAGACACACATAGGCCACCATGGCCAAGCCCTGATCTCCTCTCATATCCAGCCAGCAGACAACCAACGGAACAGGTGAGGCCACAGAAGAGGACAGGTGGCAGGCAGGTGGACGAGAAGCTCTGCCCAAGGATGAAGGATTGCTCAGAAGAATGTCCATGACTCAAAAGAGCTTGCTTCATGCAAATCCATGCCTGGAGACATCACAAGTAGGCCAGCGCCAGGAGCACACGCCAGGCAGAGGGGACACTGCTGCCCACCAGCACAAGCCAAGGACGCGTCTCCAGATTGATTGGGGAAGGCAGAAAGAGGGGCTGTGAAAGCCAAGAGAATGTCCTTGTGAACGAACAGGGCTGGGGTGGCCTTGGACAGTGCAGTAGCCAGAAGCAGCAAGAAATCATGAACATCCCTTGAGTCTCATCTCGGTCCCTAGTATTCCTTATGCCTGAGAACCTGGATCCCACGGTGACTTAGTCCACTTGGTTGATCACAGAGGAGAGGAGCTCTTGTTGCCCAGGAAACCACTTTAGATGCTTCGTACAAGACTATGCAAACATGCCCCCCATGGGCCAGTTCTTGATCCAGAGGCATGGAAGACAAGCTGCTCGCTGAACCAGCCCCAAAACACTTCTTTCTCAGTGCCCCCCTTCCAGGGCCCTATTCCTGATGACCATAAGGATGTCCTCTGAAGCAGGGACAGTCCTCATCACCCACTGCCATGTTTGGACACCTCTCTGTGCAGCCAGTACATCAAGTCCTCTGAAGTGCCAGCCCCAGCCCATACCAACAGCTTCCCTTGTGCTAGGCCTCACACTCGGCTGGAGGAGGTGGGGTCACCAGAAATGACGGGCAACAACTGTAGCTTCAGAGCCATTCATTCCCATTCTCAAGCCCACTCGGATATGGTGGTAATTATACATGTAACCGCAGCCCCATGTGAGGCTGAGGCAGGAGGATTGTAAGTTACAGGCAGGTCTAGGTCTGGGCAACTTAGAGAAACCCTATCTCAAATTAAAATTTTCTAAAAGGCTGTAGGGTATGGTTCAGTTGTACGTTGCCTGACTTATCATGCACAAAGCCCTGGGCTCAATCCTGAGTACTACAAATAAATGAATGAATTCATGAATGAATAAATGAATATCCACAAGTAGCCACACAGACCACTGGCCAGGCAAGACAGCTGGGCAGGGACCATGGTACACTGGTAGCATCTTCCAGAGGCACCTACCACCTAGTCTAGCTAGTTATAGACAGAGAAAGGAAATGGTAGTGTGGCAAAATACCAGAATCTAAACAAATATAGGAGACTTATGGTAGATTTTTATGTGGAATCTCCTAATGTTAAAATATCAACAACTAATTCAAACAGTTAAAAAAAAAATACTGCTCAAGCTGATACATAGTTGCCTTGGAGCCAGATTCAGCCAGTGGGCACCACCTTTTTACCAATGGATGTAAAACCACCTGAAATGTTTGCAGTTCCACCCACCCACATGTTCCCCATGCAGAGTGGCCGGCAGGGCTGCCTCTGTCATCCAGATGAGGACCGTGATTAAAACTGAAGAGAGACAGGGTCCCCAAGCAGTCAGTGCCCAAGAGCCACAATCTGTCCTGACCCCACATCCACGGCTGGTGGCGAGGGGGCCAGGGCTGGACATCTGCGGTGAGCACTCTGGGCTGGCCAAGCACACTGGTCATGGGCTGGAGGCCATGTTGAGGGTCATCCCATGGTGAGGCTGCCAGGCCCCAAGAACCAGGTTCTACAAGGCTGTGGAGGGAAGAATTTGCTTCTCATGACCTAGCCTGGGTAATGTCCTACCATCATATTCCATCAGTCTATCTCAGGTCCAAGGCAGGGGTGTGGAGGACCACCTGGGCAACTCTTCTTAAAAGAAGAGCAATTTTCTCCATTTTGGCTGAGCCTGACCCTATTTCCATGTACTGATATGTACAGAGCTGGCTAGGACTTTTTCCTTATTCCTTCAATTGACTTTAAGCAATGAAATCAGTCTAGCCGAGGTGCTGGTGGTAGTCTTTGAAGATGGCAGGCAGTGTTTCCCCAGATCCCCCATTTTCTGCTCCCTTGTGTGAGCCAGGAGGAAATGAGATAAAAAGCCAATGTTTCAAGAGATAGAGGCTATGACTTTCTGGGGCTTGAAAGATTACACATCACAGGGGCTGGTGAGATGGCTCAGTGGTCTAAAGCACCTACTTAGAGCAAGCTTGGCAAAGCACAGGGACCATGGTTCGGTCCCCCAGCACCATTGCCAGCCAGCCCTGCCCCCTGGTGGGCTGAGCTGGCCACACACACACACACACACACACACACACACACACATAAATAAATAAATAAAATTAAAAAAAAAAAAGAAAGAAAGATTACACATCACAGCTGAAGCACTGACCCCAAAACATTAGATACTACCTCAATTGTGTAATGCAGGTTACTCTTTCTGTATATCCTTCTCTCTGACTATTGCAGAGGTGACTTGGGGCCTCCTACCTAGCCCAGCTCATGGCATTCACCTACTTCTCGTCATTGTCACAGTCACTCATCCTCAAGCCACTTCTTTCTTCATAAATAAATAAAACCTGGGTTCGGCCTTGGGTCAAAGCCATTGTCCAGGTTAGCCATCATCATGGCTGGACTCAGGACCCCTTGGCTCCCCATAACTACAAATATACCTTAGTGTCTTTATTCTCACCATGGGTTACACTGGGTGTGGTAGATTGAAACTAACTTATCCATGGGATTACAAATATAAACTTCCCAGACTGAGACAAAAACCAGGAAGGGTTCTATATAAGGGAACTTGATTCAATTTTTCCATGGGAAACACAGCTAAGAACTGTGGCCATCTTCAGAGTTTCGGGTTTTAGGGACACTTGGAAGCCAGAAGAATGTCCTCCTTCCAGCCACACTCCGTCTTTATTTCTGGACTAGCAGACATTAGCCCTCTAGACATCCAGATTAGTGTCTACCCAGGCTATGTTCACCATCGAGTGCAAGACCCAGAGCACAGAAGACTTAGGCAGCTTTGGGGGCCAGAGGCCAGTGTGCAAAGAGTCCAACACCTTTATCACCACCCAGCACTCACACAGGGGTCATGGAGCTCTTCACTTGGCCTCTGTGACCCATAGAGGCCAAGAAATGTCAACTTTCCACAGGGTCATTGCTGACATGGTCGTGCTTACCCTTGGGTCCCCTCCACACTGGAAGGATGACAGAGGCCCTGAGACTACCACCTGGACCCTCTGAAATAAGCCAGGGAGAAGTCCCACATGCAGTCACCTCTCTTATCTCTTAGGACCAGTATAGTCTGGCTGTCACCTGCATAAGCCTCTGGGATCCCAGCTGGTGCAGAGAAATCTATTCCTACTCCCTGTCACCTCTGTGACCAGAAGCTGCCCTCAGTGCAGAAGAGCCATAATTTCCTCTGCCTGTGGTTTCATTCTTTCCTCCTCTTTTCTTTTTAAAGAAACGTTGCAGTCAAATGAGTCTTCCACCTTAAGCAACCAAGGGCAGTGAGAGGATGACTCCTGCAGCTCAGTTCCCAGGTTCCTTTCCTGTCCCCGCAACATCTGGCAGCCATCCCAGACAGGCTCAGAGTGGCCATCACAGGAGGTGACCCCATGTGTCCCAAGGATTTGGACAATAGTGAGAATGACCCCTGAAGTTCTGGTGGAGAAGTCCTCCACCACCTTCTTTAAATGATTTTTTCTCTTCTCCCATAGTACTGGGGATCGAACTTGGGACCTTGCAGGCAGGCTCTTATGCCGCTATGTCCCCAGCCCTGCCTTCTTTAACTGAGTCTTTCCTCCTGAGGTCACTGTGAAGTCACATACAGTTGTGGGAAACAATGTGGCAAGATGAAGTGTACCCTAAGTGCACGAAGAGATCCTTCACCCCAGGAAACATGGGGAACTGAGCTCAGCACATCCCCAGCAAGCTCTGGGGCCTGGAATACCTGGCCCACCTCGCTCCAGCCCATCTCATCATACTGTGTGTGTGCGTGTGTGTATGTGTACACAGAGGTCCCCGTGTCCGCCACCATCACCAAGAAGACATTTTCAATCTCAGGAAAGAGTGGATGCAGCAAGGGGAGGTACGAGAGGCCACCATGCCTATGCCCTATGTGGACATTCACGTGGGGTCGGAGCAGATGAGACTTAGGGGTTGGAAGACAGGAGCAGAGAGGAGCCCCCCACCTCGCAACCCCACCAAAAAAAAAAAAAAAGCATTCATGCCGAGCATTGCAACCTGGGCGCTGTGAACCTGCGCAGAACTCACCTCTGTGATGATGTAGAAGTCATCCCCAGGTTCCCCTTGAACCACAATTTTCTCTCCGTCTTCAAACTGCACTGGCTCCAGGGCATCAGCCACTGTCAGCCGCTCCCACTTCTCCAGGGACTCTGCAGAGCAAAGAATCAACCGGGCTCAATACTACAAAGAAACAGCCAGCTGCCTGACTGAGGAGCGCATCGGGTGACCAAAGTGTAAAGCAGAAAGCTGTAAAGCCATGGACAGCTGGCCCATCATGTCTGTGCCATTCTGGGTGGACGGAGCCAGGATAAGCAGGAGACTCAGTGAAAACGCCTGTCACTGATCACTGCGTAAACAAGAGGTGCTGAAAACCGAGCCGAAGCTAACCCAGCATGAAAATACTTGTATTTACCTCTAGAAGAACAGAACTGCCTATAATTTTGTAGACAGTGGGGCCACAGCTGCTCGTCAGCTGCTGTGTGGTTTGGAATAACTCGCAGTGGTCAAAGCAAGTACCTATTCGAAAGCAACTCTGTCCAGTGGGGGCTGATGGAGACCAAGGCCCTGGCACGATGACAGCAGGAAAAGGGATAATTCCCTCCACAGCTTTAGACCAAACTGCTTAATTCTGATGCCAAGTTTATCTTCAAATGCCTGCAAACCATCTTTGTACCTTCCTCACACCTGCCCGTCCCTGTCATTATGAGGAACAAAAAATAACGTGAGAGTTTCATAAGGAATGATGATCGCCTGATCAAATTCTTTTTTTGCAGAATAACTCTTTCTGGCATATATTTAGATACTATCTAAGTAGGTTAGCTGCTAAAAATTTTAAAAAGCATTTATTTTAGATCTAGGTTAGCAGGGGATTTCTCTCCCTACAACCTCCTGCCAATGCCGCATATCCCAAAGGATGCCTCCTACTAACCGCAGGGTCATAGCAATTCTACTGCACCATACACATGATGAGGTAGGTTGCTTAAACCCTGGTTGCATGAGCAGCTTTCTTTAAAAGGTCTGTGCTGGACAGAAGCTGCTCTAGGTACCAGTCTGGTGACACAGGCCTGTCATCTCAGCTACTTGGGAGACGAAGGCAAGACTGCAAGTTGGAGGGGGCCTGCCCCTTAGCTCAGTTCTTTAAGCGGCTGCTTCCACAAAGCAGTCAGGCTCAGGTTGCTGTGGTTTGATCCCTACAACTCAAGCTAGCCAAACTTGCCCTGAAGGCATTCGGAATAAAAAAAAATCCTTATTCCATTTGAGGAGCTGGGGAGATGGCTCAGTGGAATAAGCACTTCCCTGGCAAGCACAAGGGCCTGAGTTCAATTCCCAGTTCTGGAAAAAAAAAAAAAAAGACTGCAAGTTGGAGGCCAGCTTGAGTAACTTAGCAAGACCCTAACTCAAAGTTTTTAAAGTCTGGGGTGTAGCTCTCTGCTCTGAATGCTTGCCTAGCATTTGTGAAGCCCCCGAGTTTAATCACTAATACTGCAAAAAATAAATAAATGAAGCAGCAGTTGCTTGGCTATTTGGAGCCTGGGGCTTTGTAGAGACACACACAAGCCAGCACACCAACAGAATGCAGCTACTCCAGAACAAAATTATATTTATGTCCAGAGGGAAGGGGTGCAGAAGTGGGATGGCCTGTGAACATGGAGCGCTTGGATTATCCGTTTCTCCATGAGGGCCAAGACGAGATGCATCTGATTTTTACAAGTCAGTTTGTAGTCAGGAGGTTCACCTCCACACATTTGTTTGGCTGAGTCTTTTCTCCCCTATCTGAAACCTGCAACATCCTAAGGTCTGAAAATCAAGATCCGAAGCAGGCTTATCTCTCAACAACATAAATCCTGGGTAGAAACTAGTAGAAGAAGCCATAAGGGAGATGGCAACTTTTCATCCCATTTTTTCAATGTCTCAAGCTCTTCAGGCAATTTGTGAAACAAAACCTTTTTTTTCAGACTTTCAGCTTAGAATCCTGTACCTCAGAATACAGGACGCTGACAGTGAATTCTAACAGGAGAAGGCTGTGACTCGGGCTGCACTGAGCTCTGCCTTTACTGTATTTCCTGCCACAGGCTTGGGTTCCAACACGGATGGCAGAACCTGAGCAGGAAAACTGTGCCAAGCATCCTGAAGGGCAGTGTACAGACATCAGTGACCCTACCATGAAGGTGAGCTGCAGGGACCCACAGTGGGGACATGGAACTCTGGGCTCACACCCCCTGTGTCAGCTGTGTGGGGTTGAGAAGGAAGCAGAATTGCAGGACACAGAGTATGTACTTCCCATGCCCCATGTGAGCAGAAAAGGCCTGCACTCCTAACTCTACTCACAGGCCTCCCGAGCCCATCACACCGTCCCAAGGCCTTGGTGAAGGTTTTGTGTGGTGAGTGGCCTTGCTACTTATTCCCCAGGAAGGCTATGGAGAAGCCAGCCACACTTGATGGCTTTGCATTAATCATAGGGAAACAAAATAGCAAACGGAAGCCAGGAAGGGCTGTGACTCTGATGAAGGCAAGATGTTCGAAAGGCCCCCTTTATTTGTCTGGAGGCTACACCAAAGAATGGAACAGCAGGTGACAACTCTCCCAGAGCCTGCTGGGTACCGGTAGCCCCTTGCCTGCCCTGGATTGGGGCCAGGAGACTAGAAGGTAAAGGCGGGCAGAGATTCCAGGTTTAGGACTTGGCATGGGAATAAAACATCTTGCACTTGGGAGCCAACTTAGGAGGGAGGGAGGGTAGCTTCTGGTCAGGGTGATGGCAGTGCTGGAGCCAGATGTGCAGATGCTACACAAGGCCAGGCACATGCACCCCCTGGACCGCACTCCTTAAAGCGGCCCAATGGCCCGGCTTATGTCGTAGTTGTTACAAAAAGATTCAAAGAAGATGCAGGCTCAGGGCAGGTCTTTCCCCAAAAGTGGGCAGTGACTGTCATACCATACACACACACCCGTGACCTCACTGCTCAGGCCAGGCACACAGCCCAGAGGGCTTTGTCTCTCCCTCCAGCCTTGTCATATTCAAAATGGTTCAGCAGGGGATTCCCTGCAAGACAGCTGAATGTGCACAGAGCCAGGGTGCACCTGGGAGCACTGTGGCCTCTGATAACAGAGGGACAACGCTATCAGGTGGCACTGGGAGGGCAGGATGTTCTCTGGAGAGCCATGCTGGGGTTAGCCTAAGCAATAGAGAAAGAAGCTCAAGTGAGTCATCAGTTATTAGAAAACAAACTTGCCCTTCTGCTCAAGCCTAAAGCTGGGTATAGTGGTGCACCCCTGTACTAGAGAGGCTGAGGCAGGAGAATGGTGAGCTCTAGACCGCCTAGATGACTTAGTGAAAGAACTCATCTCAAAACAAAAAGGGATATGGAAGTAGCTCAGTTGTGCAGTGTCCCTACCTTCAATCTTCAGCATTTTTTTAAAAAAGTGGGGCCAGGGAGATGGCTCAGCGGAATAAGTGCTTCCTTGGCAAGCACAAGGGTCTGAGTTCAATCCCCAGTTCTGCCAAAAAAAAAGTGATGGAAGGGGCCGGGGAGATGGCTCAGTGGAATAAGTGCTTCCCTGGCAAGCGCAAGGACCTGAGTTCAATCCCCGGTTCCACAAAAAAAAAAAAAAAAAAAAAAGTGATGGAAGACAACAATATGCAATATATTAATTATTGTAACTGTCCTACTAAACTGTTTTGAAACTGTCTCATTGCTATTTGTTTCTCAGTAAAATTAATAATGAAGTAAAAAGTTTTTTAAAAAATAAAAAGAAAAAAAAGTGATGAAGCTGAGGAGCCAGCAGAAAAGACAGGCAGACCCAATCATAAACCCCAAAGAACTGTGTGTGTGTGTGTGTGTGTGTGTGTGTGCGTGTGTATGTGTATGTGTGCGTATGCATACACATACACAAGCCACTTGCCAGCCACATAGGAAAACGGAAGTGTCTGGGCTGGCACAGGTGCTCAGAGGAGGCTGAGAGGCCCCAGGTGCATGCAGAGCCACTGACCGAGGATGGAGACCTTGCTGAGGAACTCCTCGTACATCTTGCGCTTTCTCAGTGTGCTGCCCTGTTTGGGAGAAAGGGAATACAGAGGTTGGTCTGCAGGTCCAAAACATTCTGGTGTTTCCAGATTTTTCATGCATCTTCATAGGAGGGCGCCTCCAAGGGTCACAAATTCCAGTCCCAACCCTCTCCCTCCTTCTGGGGCTTCCGGGGCATGCCAGCCCCTAAGGGGACCTGATGTTTCCTACGTCTTGGGGTCCACCCCAACAGGCCACCCTGAGCAACCAAGTGGGCACTAAGAAAATGACAGTTTGAAATTTCCAAAGTCAGGAGGTCCCAGAAGACACAATGGCACCCTCTCTGCTGTCTACTAGGCTCGGGAGCAGGGCTGCCTGCCAACAGTCAGCACTACGTAATACCGCCTTGTAGAAAGATGTGCATAAGCAGTGGTGCCATGGGCAGCAGGAAGTTTTAGAGAGTCCCTGGGCAGGGGGCCCCGAAAAGCTCAGTGCACCCTCTGCCTTAGTCTGTATTCTCTAGCTCCATGCACAGGCCCAGGTAAGGCTCCAGGGAACTGAGAATCCAATGCTTAAGAAAAAGAAGCTGTAACCCTGGCACTCTGACAGGCTGAGACAGGAGGATCGCAAATTGGAGCCCAGCCTGGGGATTTTTGCAACTTAGTGAGAGTCTGTCTCAAAATAATCATTTAAAAATCATTAAAAATAATCATTAAGGGAGCTGGAGATATATAGCTCAGTGGTATAAGTGCCTGCCTGGCAAGCACAAGGTCCTGAGTTCAATCCCCAGTACTGGAAGGAAGGAAGGAAGGAAGGAAGGAAGGAAGGAAGGAAGGAAGGAAGGAAGAAAGAAAGAAAGAAAGAAAGATAGATTGATAATATTAAATAATATTTTAAAAATCAATAATCATTTAAAAATAGCTCAGTGCCAAGGCTACGTGGATTCAATCCCCAGTACTGAGAAGAGGAGAAAGGAATGGAAGAAAGTGAAAATGGAAGGACAAAGGAAGGGAGGGAAGGAGAGAAGGAGGGAGGGAGGGAGGGAAAGATAAATTTTGAAGCATGCTGGAGCCCTGCTGGCCTCTGCAAGGGAACCTGGGGTGGGGGTGGGGTCAAGCCCAGCTCTACCCAGCCCTGGGCATGAAGCTGGGCAGGGAAGAAGCAGGCATTTAAGAAGCTTCCAGATCAGGCCTGGGATTCTAACAGCCTGAACATGGGGTGAATCTGAGCTGACATTCCTGGACTGTCTATTGTCCCCTTCATCTCTTGTGTCACCCACAGCACATCCAGCTTAGTACTAAGTGGATGCAGGGTGGGGACACTCAATGCGCGATGACCACATCCAAATCTACCCATATGGGGACGGATGCAAACACAGACACAACCAATCCAAAAGGCGCTGCCACCACCGGAATGCACTGGCACTGTCATTTTCTTTCCCGAGTCACGTGAGCCCTGCGGACTTCCAAGCTGGCCAGGACTATTCTTAGCACACAAGGATCTGGAATTAGCACAGAGGAAGCGCTGGCTCCCAGTGTGGTTTGAGAACTTCCCTCGATGTAAGGTTCCAGCCACCAAGATCCACAGCCAGGATGACACAGCACAGACGCAGCAGAGGCCATGCCAGGTGCACCCAGGGGGCACAGGAACTGTGCGTCCTCTCGCATGGGGTGGGCATATGTCCAGCAGACAGGGATCCTACTGGGTCCACCACCACCACCACCTGCAGCCTTGCTGGGCCCTGCAGATCTGCTCAGAGACTTGGCAAGGAACTTGTGGAACTTGGGGCTGACGAAATAGCTGTCCTGACGCTCCTGGCCCTGTCTACAGCCCCTGGACTGGGACCAGGACAGCGCAGCAATACTCCAGCAACTCAGGCCCCAGGGCCTTTGCACTCACTGCACTATGGCCAAAACTAACAGCTTTTGCCCTAGCTTCTGGCCTCAAGGCCTCTGCACCAATGTCACCTAGAAGAGAATTCTCCAGCCCTCCTTCCTAGGGAGCTGCCCCTCCCTCAGTTCCAGCTCACCTCCACCATCCCACCCCAGGTGTGTATGTGTTCAGTTCATCTCCTCACCCGGGAGGCCAGCCCTGTGCCTCCTATTTTGTGATATGAGGGTGAATGACCTCCTCCTCCAGGAATGATTTTTCCCTCCAGAAGCCACCCACATGGTCTCAATGACATACATGTATTTGTGTGTCACACACACGCACGCACGCACGCACGCACGCACGCTACATCTCCTGAGAGATCTGGATGCAGGTAAGAACAGATCTAAAATGTTAGTGGCTTAATAACCCTAGTGATCCCCACATGAAGGAGTCTAGGCATGAGCAGACCACCCCAGAATAACCATCCACCAGTAGCAGAAAGTCATTTTTCTTACTAGGAAGATGGGTGTCATTCTCAAGGTCACCTCACAGTCCAAGATGGCAGCTAGAGCGCCATCCATTAAAAACATGTTCTGCACACTCAGAAAAAGAAAGAAAGCAAAACATACTCCCTCAACTACCTCCCTGTCTTCTAAGAAGCTTTCCAGAGCCACCCCCTCCTCTTCTGATCATCTCACAGGATTTATTGGTAAAAGACCTGGCTGGGAGCTATCTCTTCCCTCCTATGGGATGCTTGCTCAGAAATGGGCATCAGGCACAGCCCCTGCACCCCCACCCCTGCCTGGTGGACCCTCCTCTACCAGGATGCTGCTCACCATCAGGATGCGCCGGTAGCTGTCACGATCTATGCCCCAGAGCTTGAGGTCGGTCTTGGCCTTCACAGTGGCAGCCCTGGGTGTGCCATAGATGAGTGCCAGCTCCCCGAAGCTGCCCCCCTCGCTGATGTTGGTCACCCACTCTCCATTCACGTATACCTGCAGGGAACACAGGAGAAATGGTCAGGGCATGACCTCCAGCTGGATGCTCCCCAGGGACCCCACAGATCTCCCAGGTCCCCTTGGGAAGGACACAGTACCAGCCACACTCCTGCTCCACACAGAGCACCAAACAGCATCCCAGGGTCTGCTCAGCCCCTAAAGGACAGGACAGGACCACAGACAGGGCAGCATGGGCCCAGGCTTCAGTCAGGAACATGTCCTGCACCGCCCCTGCTCCCCAGTGGGCCTTGTTTTCTGCTTAGCAATTCTCTGGGCCTCACTTTCTCAGGCTGTACACCAGTGAGTAAGGGCCTCCACCACATGTGCTGACTCCAGGCGGACACTCAGCCCTTGCCTTCTCCCCTTGTAAGCTGCCCCTTCCTGCCCTGCCCCTCAGTGACCACTCCAGGGGCCTCTGTCTCCTTCTGACCTCTGGGGGCCCAAAGGCAGTCACACATGGTCAGAGGTGAGCCCTTATCCTGGGCCTTTCCTCCTAGGGGCAGTGCCCAGGCCCCTGGCTGGGGCCTGAAAGGAGCCATTGGCGCCCGGGTAGGCGAGCTTCATGGAAAGCAGCCGGGACAAGATTCCCTTTCAGCCGCACAGCGCTGCGCCCCGCACGGCGTGCCTGTGCCCGGCCCGTGCGCAGCCCACACCCAGGCAAGAATGGTGCAGATTGTTCATTATGTAGTGATTATGCAGATTCGGTTACTATAAATTGACACAATGCCCTCTTTATCCCTGCATCGGTCAATGAGCGCACAGATCGGTTCCCATTGGCAAAATGGGTGCGCAGAGGAAGAATGGATTGTGATGAATCATGGAAGTGATTCTTACTGAAATCAATGACTCATTATCTGATAATAACTGAGGCACAGAATTTCCCATCTGAAAGAAAACACCCACAGGTGATGGGTAAATCCGTAACTGCAGGCAAGCAAGGCTGGGGACCACAGCAGCTTGAAGGCAGGGCCCCACCTGGCAATCTGAAGCCCTTCCCCAGGCCAAGTGGGCCTATGCACAGGGTTGGGGGAGCTGGCCATACAGGGTGGGAGTGGGGGTGGCAGTGGGAATGCGGCTGCCCTTCCACAAGCCTCCAGGAACCAAAGACAGTGTCTCCCCAAGGCCCCAGGAAGCATGCCCAGCCAGCAAGAAGGATACACAGAGGGAGGGTCAGCAAGCCCCAAGTTTTAGGGACAAATTTAAGGGATCTTAAACAGCACCCACCAGGACCTCTGCCTCTTGTCATTCCTGAAGGGGACCTGAAGTCTAGGGTGAGTATGGCCTGGCCTCTGATGTGGGAACCAGCACTCCACTCTGCCCGCATTTCTGAGGGCACAACCTAAGCATGAGGTTTTTGTGAGCCCTCATACCACCTAGAAATGCTAGCCACCCAAGACACTGTCCCCCGGGTCTGGAGTAGCATCTGCTCACCACCTATTGGCCGGGCTTCAGCAGGCTGAAGGCAGGGCCCCACCTGGCAGTCTGGAGCCCATCTGCACCCAGTGATGAGGACTCAGACCTGCTCAGGCTGCAGGGTCCGCTCCAGAGCTGGGTGGCAGCTTCTGGGGAACAAGGGAGCCCCTGCAGTGCTTACTCTGAGAGGGAGCAGGACATTCTGCCACCTGCCAGAAACAGGGTCCCCAGGAACAGAAGGATGTGTTCTGACCCAGTCCCATGCCAGCTGCACCCCCAGCTTTCTTGGGTTATTTCCGAAGACAGAGTGGAGTGATGACCAAGGGGCACAGACCCCCCGCCCACAAGGACCCCTGCCCTGTCAAGAAGCCCCGGCCTCCCAGCACTACCCTGGGTGTCAGAGAAAACCATTGTGTGAATGGGCTCAGGGCCACCCCCAAGGACAAAGGGGCCATCCTTCTCAGGACACTGGCCTCTGTCACGGCTCCCTAGCAGGGCACAGAGTGCGCCCCACCCAGCTGGCACGCAAAGGGGCTGCTCTTGTCTTATTTCACTTTTTGTTTTTTCTTCTTTTAAAGAAAAATGGTGGGGAGGGTGGCGCCCACGGGCTGCACAGTGTCCCTCAAGGCCACTCTGCACTGGCTCCTTCCTCCCCATCCCTTCCTTTTTTCCTTCCTTTACTCTCTACCACTCTGCAGTGGGTGACAGATTCCTATCCACAGGAAATGTCCAACTAGCTGGGGACCCCCAGACAGATCTGGCAGCGGGAGACCCAGGTATTTCAAGCCACCCAGCTCCATCCCATAGGAAAGCCAAGTAGGCAAACCACTGTGGGTACACAGAGGCAAGAACAGTCACCTAACCAAGACAAAGGATGATGTGTGGCTGTGATGCACAGCTAGGGCAGCATGGTCAGCATCAGTGGTCCTGAGCCTCCTGCTACCTGGCCTGAAGGGGTAGAACAAGGTGCCTGTGTCCAGGTGCTTCAGCGTCCCTACCCATGCCCAGGCCCATACTGCCCCTAGCCCTCCTTTGCCCTCACTACCTACCTGGGACTGGCTTCAAGAGACTTTATTGGTGGCACAGTTCCCTTTGGGGAGGGAGAGCAGGCCATGTCGCCCAACCACAAGGTCCCCTTATTATACCTCTGGATGGCTGGCAAAGGTCCTTGAATCCATCCTAGCCCTCCTGTCCTCCTCCATGACCGCAAGACCCCATATCTGGAGAGCTGATTTCCTGGCCCGCCGACCCTGAGCCCATCTTAAACTCAGGTGCTTCTCCTTACATCAACACCGCCAGCTGTGTGTGGCCCAGGATCCTTCTACCCCCAACTCCACGCAGAGTGGCACCTACAGACCATCATCTCAGGCAGGGCTGCCCAGAACCTGAGGGAGCACAAGACTGGATGAATATATTTGGGGCCTCCAAGACCTAAGAAACCTTCATAGCCATCTCCAGGCCACAGCCACCTGGGGCTCAGTAAATGTCTGATTAAAATAAAACCCCAAGGCAGGGTCTCCAGGACACGCTGACACACTGTGCTCCACACAGGCACCAGAGTGTCCACCGACTGGTGACAGGTAAACAATACGTGGCCGTGCAAACACTGGAACACTGCTCAGCCTCAAACAGGGAGACGCTCATGCGTTACGGTGTGGGTAAGCCTCGGGGATGCGGTGCTGGTGAGAAAAGGCAGACACAGAAGGACAATCACTCCACATCTACAAGGTCCCTGAAGGAGTCAGTTTCATGGAGGCAGAAAGCAGGATGGTGACACTGGGAGCTGGGAAGGGGACAGGCGTCAGAGTTCCATGGAGGACAGAGCTTCCATTTGGGAAGATGAGAGATGGATGGTAGTGACAGCCAGACAGCAGTATGAATGCATTTACTGTCACTGTGCTGTGCCCCTAATGGTTAAGATGGCAAATTTTAATTTTGTGCATTTTATGAGTTGAAACGTACGCACACATAGAACATGTGGCAGGCCCTGAGTGACAACCGGGCAGGACAAGGGATCAGGTTGCCATGTTCAGGGCTGCCCACCAGGGACAATGTAAAACCAGAAAGGTGACAGTAAAGAGTCCCAAAATAACAAAGGCTCGAGAACAACAAAGATAGGGAATGGGCCTCAGACAGGCTAGAAATGGAACGACGGCACTCCTGAGCCGGTGACACCAGCAGCTGAGCATCTTTTTAAGCAGAAATGCTATGTTCCAGGAATAAAATAAATTGGGAGATATTTTTATACTTAGAAAAATGGATTATAGCTCTTGGCAACATGCACACAGCAAGCAGGCATTTTTGGAGTCTCTCTGGAAAACCGTAATTTAAGCCAAGCCAGTATCTTGGCATACAGTCACCTGGTGTCCCAGGGCTGCTGGACAGAGGGCAGTGTCACCCTGCAGAGAGGGCACATGGGCTACCACGAGCCGTGCCTGTCTCTAGGGTCCTGGGGGCTGCCTTCCATGGGGAGGGGATGCCTATGGTAGCCCCATTCCCCTCTCAACCCTGCAGAACTAGTACCTGTGATACTTTGGGGAGCAACCTGTGCCCCGTGTGAGTCCACCTCTTCCCCCAGAGGGTGTTTACAGCAGCAAATAGAACACATAGCGGGGCTCAGGGTAGGAGGGCTGGACCGAGCCAGGGCAGCTCGGGGCTGTGGCAGCTCAGGGCGCAGTAATGACAGTAATCATCCCAATGTACACCCTAGAACTCCACCCTCGGCCAGGCTGCCATGTCTGTCTGGTTCGTTACTGGGTTCCTCTGATTCCTTCAGATGTGGCCTTCAGCACCAGCCCCGATGTTTACCCTTTGCACAATCAGCCTCCACATCACAGCGGCTCCCCCGCAGCTCCTGGGCCAGCCCCACCCTGCCACCCATCCCCTCCCTACTGGAAAATCTGAAGAGATTGGCAGAGGGGCCTGGTGTTCACTTGCAGCCTCGGCAGGCAGGAAGCTGGCTATGCCTATTCACAGATGGCCCCATAGGTCACATCCTGGTGCCACCAGGGCTTGCATGTCCCAGACTGGTGGCCACGCCAGGAAGCGGCATCCACTCACAGTGCCCTGATGTCCTGGCTCTGCCACACAGGGTCCAGAGAGGCCCTGGAAGCCACTTGTGCACCTGGGGCGGGCGGGATGGGGAGGCAGGATCTAAGAGACAATGTGTCGGGGAACTCCAGTTATGCGAAGGTGACCTCACTTTTTCCTCACACAATTGCCTCCACATGTCCCCGGGTTTGGTCTGGTGCCAGAGACAACACATCTCCACCCGGGAGCTGGGCGGGGGAGCTGGCCAAAAGACCAACTTGCTCCTCATCTCTCGCCTTGTCCTATGGCACCCAGGCCTGGATGCTGTGACTATCCCACAGGGGTGGGAGGGGTCCTGCCAGGATGAACCTGGGTTTGGTTCATGTTTTTTGTTTTGAAGTACTGAGGAGGGAACCCACATGCTAGGCAAGCATCAACCACAGAGCTACATCCCCACCCCTTCTTTAAAATTTTATTCTGATACAGGGTCTCCCTAGAACTTGCCAAGGCTGTTCTCAAGCTTACAAGCCTCCTACCTCAGCCTCCCTAGTGATCCAACATACTCATCTGAGTTTCATCAAGCCTAAGACCCTCCTGTCTTGGATTTAGACCTGAAGTGAAGGGTCAGGCAGTGACCATGGCTACAGCTGAGCCCAGTAGACCTTATCCTCCCTCTTCTTCACACTTGCCCCACAAAGGGGTGGCCCTAGATTCTTAGCGCCTGCCTCAGTTTCCTTCTTTGGGAGGACAAATCTCCTGATTGACACAAAGGTTTGCCGTAGGCCAGTCCAGGGACCATGCTGTCAGATCCAGTGTAGGACAGCGTAACAGGCCTTGTGACAAAGAGAAGTCTGGGGACTCAGTGTGTGCCCCGCCTGGACTTCTCTTGAGTCACTTCCTGTGCTCCAGCTCCGGAAGTGGGGGGCCTGGCGGTTCCCAGAAAGCTCAGAGTGGATGCGCTGCCGACAGGCTGCTGGGGAGGTAGGTGAGTAAATGTCCTTCCCAGAAATAGCTGGGACTGGATAGAGGCAGAGGGATGAGGCCAAGTCTTGAAATAGCTCCCCAGCTCTGGAAGGAGGTGGCATGGCCTGACGCCTAGAGGCCACTGACAGCAAGGTGACAAGGAGCAAATGGCAGCACCACCTGAGGGGGAGGGGTGGAGTGAGGCTGAGCCATTCCCAGCCAGACGGGACCCAGGGCCAGCTTGGGAAGGGCTGGATCTGACCTAGGCCCTCAGAGACCCCCCGCAATGCTTAGACAGGCCTTCAGGAAAGACCCAGGAAGCCTGGCATGGTGGTCTACACCTGTAATCCCAACACTCTGGGAGGCTGTGGCAGGAGGATTTCAAGTTCAAGCCAGTCTGGGCACCTAGGGATTTAATGAGACCCCATCTCAAAATGAAAAAATAAAGGCAAAGGCCCTGGGTTCAATTCCCGGTGCCTACTAAAAAAAAAAAAAAAAAAAAAAAAACCCAGGAAAAACTGCAAAATTCCCAACTAAGATAAAGAAAGGAGATGCCACAGAGAAGCTGGGGGCAAGGGTGTATCTACAGACTCCCAGGCTCAGGAAGTAACACTTTGGAGGACATCAAAGAGTAAAACAGGTGTTCACAGTGATGCTATGAGGGAAAAGGGATGTCCCCAGCCAGAGACAGCGACTGCCAAAGCCCTGTGACAGCACAGTGCAGGGTTCCAGCAGGAGTGCCAAGGGATGCCCTGTAGGTCACACTGGGGGCCCAGCTGGAGGGCTTTGGCAAGAGCCAGGTCCTTGGCTCCAGGAGGGCAGGGGCAGGCACCCAGAGAGGCAACATCACCACCTTTCAAGCCAGGGCATCTGGGACTCAGTTGATGGTAGCCCAGGAGGCAAAAGAAGGCAAGTGGGTGTGGAAGACCTAGCTGAGTGCCCAAGAGGGGGCCTTTCACAAGTGGGCACTTAGAACAGTGGAGGTAGCTTCATAAAAGTATGGGCCTGTGGGCAAGGCAGCACAATTTGTATTTCCAGTAATCTAGGAGGCGGAGGCAAGAAGATCAAAAGTTCAAACCCAGTCTGGGTACCTCAACAACATAAGGGATCCTGTCTCAGAGTAAAAAAAAAAAAAAATTAAAATAAAGGCTGGAGATGTAGTTCAGTGAAGGCCCTGGGTTCAATACTCAGTATTGAAAAAAAGAGAGAGAGAGAGAGTGGGGGGAGAAAAGTGGAGACCTCCACTGCTGGCCAATGAGAACAGGAAGACAGCATCCCTGAGGACTGCAGTACAGCTGGGGCATTTGAAACATCACGGCATGGGACACAGAGGACCCAGCTCCTGGCAGCACTTCTGGGGCCTACAGATACACAGCTCCCTGGCCACTGTAGCCAATGTCAACACCCAGTGCAAAAGTGGCACATCATGGACCACTGATATGGGGTCAGCACCGAGTCAAACCCTCCCAACTGTCTGCAGGAGACAAAGGCCAGGCTGCAGACGGCACCTGCCCAACGGCCCTCCTGCCACCTGCTTGTCTGGTATTTTCTTACCTAGACCTTTTAAAAGAAATCTATTAGTTTTCATTTAACAGGGTGGGGTGCTGCTTTGTAGTAGAGCAATGGGTGGGTATGCTCAAGGCCCTGGGTTCTGCCATAAGCACTGCAAATAAATAAAATAACTTCAGGAATATGTCACTCAGAGATAAGGACCTTCCTACAGGGCTTAGAGTGACCTGATCTTCACACTGGAGGAAGAGGGAGGAATTTATAACTTCCAAAAACAGTAGTCTATACTCACATCCACTTCTCCTTGGTCAATTACGTAGAAATTATCTCCTTCGTTCCCTGCAACAAAAGAAGACAGGAAACATGAGATAAAACTGACAGTTTGAGCTAGGTATGGCGGTGCACACCTATAATCCCAGGACCTGGGAAGGTGAGGCAGGAAAATCGCTGCAAGTTTGAGGCCAGCCTGGGCTATAAAGTGCGTTCAACACCTTGAACTGCATAGTGAAACCCTGTCTCAAAACAAACAAAAACTAAAAACCAAAAATTTAAAAAAAAATACAAACCCTGCCTGTTGGACACAGGAGTTACAGTGTTCTGTTATGTTTCTCTTCCAAAGAACATCCACAATCTTGTCTACATTATAGTCTTCCACCAAAAAATTCCCAGGACCTGTGTGTGTGTGTGTGTGTGTGTGTGTGTGTGTGTGTACACGCGCACGTGCATGCGCACACAAATGATCCTCATGCCTCAACCTTTTTGAGTGTTGGAATCACAAGCATGTACCACCATGCCTGGAGATTTTTTTTTTTTTTTTAGTAACAAGATTATGGAAATATACTACGTTAACTTCAGTTTTGTTTTCTTAAGTTCTGCTAGCGAATTATCTGGAGGACTGCACAGAGCATCTTATGCTAAAATCTCAAGCACGCAAACCATTTCCCCCAGGTCTGTGGTTTAGGCAGCGGAACGTACCTTGCTGTATGACTGTCTCCCCGGCAATGTGAGTGACAGGAAACATGGCATCAAATATGTCACTGAAAAATGAAACACACCAGATTAGGGAGTCACAGGTAGCACCTGTAAAGTCAAACCCTGCTTCTCTGGACCAGTAAGTGGATGTCCCACCATCCAGTGGACACCCACGGCCTGTTGAAATCCTTTCACAGAAATCAGTAAAAATGAGAAAATCTACACAAGAGAGGAACATTAAACCCCTCCCTGGCCCTCTGTTCAGGTTCCCACTGTGAGCTCTATCTCTGCACAGACATGCTTTGCTGCTGGCCTTTTACGAAAATAGGACCACATTCGACTCACTGTTTTGGATTCCAGTTAAGAAAGAGCCATTATAGAGTGAACATTTCTACTGTCTGCAAATATGAACCTGCCAGAGACAGCCACCAGGCCAGATAAAGTAGTTTATGTATTGATTTTTTTTCTTTCAGAGAAAACACTTCTAGTCCAAGAACATCCTGGCTCTCAGTGCAAAAGTGAACGATGAGCTCAGCACCTCAGAGGAGGATGTGGAGGCTCTAGGATTTTTTTTTTTTTTTTTTTTGTAGCGGAACCGGGGATTGAACTCAGGCTCTTGTGCTTGCCAGGGAAGCGCTTGTTCCACTGAGCCATCTCCCCGGCCCTACTAGGATGCACAGACTTTAAGAGCCACCAACGCCAACCAGGTAGTCTAGCCATCTAATATCCTAAATTTAGGTGTGAAATGGGCCATGTACGATGCCCAGGGAAACCAGGAGGACTGGAGCAGCCATGAGCCCACAGTGGTACTGGGGAAAGTGGAGGGCATCCCGTCCCATTCCCATTTAACTGGAATTGTCACCAGAAGATGGGCAGACACATGGGTGCCGCTCCCTGAAAACCAGGGACCACTTTGGAGACCACCTGTTGGCCCTTGGATCCCCAAAACAGAAGCTGTGGAGCTGGGATGCAAGGGACAAGGACCGGAGACCCAGGCAATATGTGTATCGCTCAGTGAAGCCACAGGAGCAGTCCCTCCTGCCCTGCCTGGATGGTGACTTGGGGGTCACAGGACTGGTAAGTTGAGGCGAGCCTCGAATGCTCATGGAGCACCCTTGCTGTGGAATGTCCAGGGCAAATGCAAAACCAAAGACCCAGATGGTACAGGCTCCAGAAAAATATAATTCTTAAGATAGTGGCTGTTTTCTCTCTATTCAAGAAATTCTTGAGTTCTACTCCCTGATGGGTCCTTTGTATCTTTTGTTTGATTATATATATGCTTCTATTTTCTATAGTCTTTTTTTTTTTTTTTTGCGGAACTGGGGATTGAACTCGGACCCTTGCGCTTGCCAGGGAAGCGCTTATTCCATTGAGCCATCTCCCCACCCCACCCCCTTCTATAGTCTTATAGTTAATTTATGTATTTATGTATTTTTAAAAAGCTGCAGCTGCTCACTGGGGAAATGCCACATCTTCCCTTTAGTGCAGACTTGAGGCTTTTAACATTTTTGAAGCATCCAAAAAAGGCAAAATCTGGACTTGAAAATGTTACAACGTGCTTATCTGAGTGTGGTACAGACTCCAAGCCTAGTACACAGAGGGATGCATCCAGCATGGAAACCAACAACTTACTCACAGCCAAACACACTTTCAAGCTAGTCTAATGTGCCAAATATACCTCCAAAGATTACATATGCTAAGCCACGCTGCCTCTCTTCAAAATTGCTGGAAGTGAGCAGTTTGGCAAAGCATTTCGATCTGCAAGAGATAAATATGCTCCACTACATGCAGAAGAGGCCAGGCTCCCTGAGAGGGCCCAGCCACAAGGCTTACGATACAACCAAGTCCTGTCTTCTCACAGATGTCCACTTCCTTATTCCCTGAATGACAGGCTCCTGGTTGCCACAAGGGCAGGTCCCACAGGAATCGCTGCCTGAGGACGTTTCCACAGGACTCCTCCCTACCTGCTCCAGCCTTCACGGACCTTCCCTCAAACTCTCAGACAGGTCAGGGATGTCATGAGTGTGAGATCCCAGGGCAGGTAACAGGAAGGTAGCAACCAAGCCAATGGAAACCGAGCACATGAGTCCACAGGTCCGGGGCATGAGGTGTGAGGCTCTTGTCAGCCTGGGATGGGACTAGGCACTTGGGGATGGGCTCCATTCCTGATAATTGCACCCTCTGCATCCAGTCATGGTAGGAGGATGTGGGCTCAGCATTCAGAGACTCCTGGAAAGAAAGTCCCAGGCTGCATGTGAAACCTCTCTCTATGGGCAGAACACCCATCAATACACATCAAAGCAAGTCCTTGTTCTTCATGGCTAGCTCAAGACCATGCAACATCATGGTCACAGTTCTCTTTCCAAAGCCCACCTGAACCCTGTGCCCACCACCTGAGACCTCATAATACCCTCTTTCTCAATTTCATGAGGGCCATCTCTGTTCTTACCTTAAAGGCAAACTGAGGCTTGAAAAGCTCTGGGGGACAGATGACCCAGGCATCAGGCTCTGCTGAGGGACCCCCCTCCCTACACCCCAGGACAGGGCATCAAGACCACTGTACATAGGATCAAAGGTACACATGGTGAGGGCAGGAAGAGGCAGGTTCTGGCCTAGGGAACCACACTACAGTCCATCCTCCTGCTCACCGGGTCATTCAGCACCCAGTGGGTCACACAGTGTCACCACTATCTACAACAAAGCTATAGAATTTATGTCCAGCCATGCCCAGGTTTCACAGGGTGCCCCTTCCAGCAAACAGGTAACCCTCAGCTCACCATGCCACTGACCATTCTTATTTTACTTACACATTTATTCCTCCATCTCCTGAACTTTCCACAGGTGACTGCACTAGGATCTTTGTACTATCTCCTTTTGTTTGGATGTTTTCTCTTTAAAAAAAAAAAAAAAAAATCTTAAGGCCAGCTTAGCAGACTAAAGTGCCTGCTTAGGCAGAGCACAGTGGCCAGGGATTCAATCCCCAGAGTGCCGTGCTGGCCCCATTCCTGGGGCACACTGAGAGGGCAATTGAGACTGGGTATGGTGGCGCATGCCTATAATCCCAGCATTTGGGAGGCTGAAAACAGGAGAATCATTATGAGTCTGATCTACATAGTAAGACCCTGTAGACCCTGTCCTAAATACAGGAAAAAAAAAATCTTGAACTATAGGTATATTGGATTTGAAATTCCCCTGGCACTCCTCCTCCAAACCTCATGAACTAAAAACAACAACTTTGTCACCAGCTAATAGGTTTCTGGGGAAGTCGTTCAATGACAAAGGCTCTTACTTCACCAACTGGATGTAATTCATGGATGACTCCAGATGGTGTTACTGGGATGTGATGGGAACTCAGGAGACGGGACTTGGTTGAAGGCAATGGGTTTTGGGGGTGTAACCTGGGTACTACATCTGGTCCTAGCCCCTTCATTCAGGCTTTTGCTCTCTGCTTCCCAGCTATGCAAGATGAACAGCCTCTGTCACATGCTCCTACTATGAGGTTTTAGCCAGTCTTCTAGCCTACCATGGACTGAAATCACGAGCTCAAACGAACCTTTCTGCTCCAAGTTCTTTTTCTCTGGAGCCAGAGCAGGGGACACCTTGGCTGTAGCTGAAAGCCCTGTTCTGTTTTCATCCCACATCCCTCATCTCCAAGCTTTAGGCTTTTTGCCAAGGGCCTGTCTGCCACGTTTCTCTTTCAGCTTCCTGTTCTCGTCCTTTGTCCATCTCGATAGCCAGCTAGTATCATTTTTCCTGCTGAGTTACAGGAATTCCTTGTCAGTTTTATATTTTCCAAATATTTCCTGCAGTTGGTGTCCTGGTCACATTCCCACGATGCCCTTAGCTGAGCAGACATCTTTCATTAGGCCATCTTTCCTCTTTCCTGCTCTAGGGCCTGTGCCCTGTGGGTTCAACAAGAACCTGCTTCCCCACCACAGTCACCCAACATTACATTGCTATGATAATCAGCCCAGGCCACTATGATCCAGCACTAGAGACTGAGCAGCTTATACAACATTTATTTCTCGTGGTCCTAGAGACCAGAAGAGCAAGAGAAAGGTCATCAGATTTGGCTTCATGAGGGCCACTTCCTACCTCATAGTGGTGGTCCCATCTGGCTGTGTCCATGGCAGAAGAAGCTTGGTCCTCAAATCCCTTTATGATGGGCACTAGCCCCATCATAGGCTCCCCACCCTCAATTCTTCCCCAAAGCCCCATCTCCAGATACTATCACAGAGGCAGTCAGTGATTCAGAGTATGCAATTTAGGTATGAGGGGATACAACCTAGTCTATAGCAAATGCCTTCTGCTAAATACATCATTCTCATATCTACTTTTCGGTCTTCAGTCAATCCCACAGGGGCTCCAGTTTTGGTCCCCCAGGGTGTCAATGTCACCTTGAAGATCTATAAATTGCTCCATGTATGTCAGGCAGACCCAGTAGGGGACACAGGCTGACATCCTCCAAAAGCCAAGGTGTTGGGGGCTGCAACCCCCAGGATCCTAGAGTATTTGGAAATGGGGTCATGCAGATATAATTGGCTAAGATAAACTCACAGTTGAGGGGGGAGGTAGGTAACTCAATATGACCCATGTCCTTAAGAGGGGGACTTTGAACACAGGCATACACAGGGAAAATACCACATAAAAAGAGACAATGAGAGATGTGGGAGATGATGCCACCTATAAGCCAAGGAGAGAGAGGCTGGAGACAAATCCACACAGTCCTAGGAGGGATTATCCTGCTGACACCCTTTGGGCTGCAATAAATTTCTATTAAGGCCACTAAGTTTGTGGTCTTTTGTTCTAGCAGTCCTAGGAAAGAGATACAGCCTCTCATGTGGAGTCGTTCATTTAATTCTCACAACAATTATTATTCTCATCCGCAGGTGAGAGAACAGAGACACAGAGAAACTAAGGAATGTGCTGGGGTCACACAGCTGGCAGGCAGGCCAGGAGACCTGACTCCAGAGTCCTGGCTCTGACTATTCCATGGAGCTGCCCCTCACCTATTCAGTACTCAGCTCCCAGGTGTACCTGCTCTGGCTATCTCCTTGCGTCCTGT